ACAATTAGAGTTTCTGCTCTCGAGAGGTCGGCTGTTGTTGATCGCGAGTACATATTTACAGTCAATACGTAAAATATCTTCCACGGAACGTACAACTTATCTGGAGTACGAGATATCCGACGAAATATTGATTTTTTTTAAACATTGTATCTCGGCACATTTTTACGCGGAGGAAAATAAAATCGTAGAAAGATAGACGTTATCGTTCAGCTCTTTCCTGCTTGCCCCATCTTTTACCAAATACGAGACGTAACCCTTGTACCTTGGAATTTTTTTATTATCTTTTATTAAATAGCAGTTTTATACCGAAAACAAAATTTTGTTTAAAATAGATATCAATGAAAATCAGTTGATTAAGTTTAAGACTATGGTTAAATAAAAGACTTTATTACTATTTAATAGAAGGTAATAAAAAATATTTTCATATAGTTTAAGGGTCTCTTTTCGCGCCCCTAAAAGTCCAGTACAGCAGAATTTAAAATTCTTCGCGAGAAAAATTAAAAAGGTTAGACAAGAGTCTCCCCTTAAACGACGTCGAAGGATTTATATTGTTGATCGAACGTAATCTACAGACAAAGTCCGTGCAGTTTCGCTTCCACGGGTCGATTCTGGATGGAGGACGCAATCGTTATTGGCAACCGAATAACGGACGTCTGATAAGAATTATGAAACGAGACCTTGGTGACGTAGCCTGGTCTAAATAAAGTGCTCGGTCGCTGTGAAATGCTCTAATTAGGGACAAGCCGCGGGAGTGAAGTTCGGCCAGCACGCGTGCAACGAAAACAACGAGACCACGAGACCACGTTTCGGCCATTCGATGACTTAGAAGCGGGTGCTTCGCGATAACGAGCCACGGGGCGAACTCGAAAGGAAAGCTCGCACGCGAAGGGACTGGAAAGAAAGGAGGTATAGGAAATGGGGCTGCAAGAGTCAGCCCGTTCGCTTGTTTCTCGCGCTGTTTCACTAATACAGAAACCTCGTCGAGTTCGTGCCCGGCACTGTAAAGCAGGGAAAAACGGCGTGTCTTCGAGGACCGGTGGCGTCGAGAGCACGTCTTTTCTGGCCTCCCCGGGCCACCCGAACCGTGCTCGGTCAAAAGCTCCCGCGAAAGACAATTCGGTTCCACTTTGCCGTATCGTTTCTCGCCATCGGGAACAACCGGGAACTACGTCGTCCTGGCCGCGCGATAGATTCCACGATGCCGATTTCTTCGGGTCTCTCTCGTTCCCTGATTTTGGCACGAGGCTCACGTGCCCCGTCAACGGACGTGCCGATTGGGACAAAGACGAACGGAGTCGCGTTTACACCGAGTGCCTCTTCATTCAACCACATAGGCGTGATACCGTTCCAGTTTCTTCGTTCCATGCGCATCGCGTACCCCCAATCAACAAATCTTTCCTCTCGATCGTTTGTAATAGTGTTTATATTTCTCTTAAACCCCGACAAATTGTTTCTAGACGATTGCAAACTACCCACGATTTGGCATAGAACTTATTTTTAGAATCCCGTTAAAATTCAACGCCCTTAGATTTATTTTCTTCTACGTGTGATCTTTAGAATTCATTTCTTTTAGATCAGTGAAATGTCGTGTCAATCATATATTATATGTATTGTGAATGGATCTGGACACTACCTTTGTGTTTATTTCGAATCTATGGGTTATGAACTGGATGCTAAGATGTATAGTTCGGGCCACGATATAGCGAGGTCGTAAATTAAACTCTTGAGGGTTAGGATTGACTACTGCTGCCGGCATTTATGTCTTTCTGTGTCCGTCACTGCACTATCTTTTTTCATTTTCCACGTACATATATTATAAGCAGGTAAATTAAGACATTAAAGACCTTTACCTGTTACCTCTAAAAATGGCTTTCTAAAAATGGCTACACTAGATAAAACGTTTCTTCGTACGGCCCTGACTATGGCCTAAGGCCCTTATCTGCTCGAATTTCTGTTAATTCGCTTGTTTCGGGGGCTAGAACGTGTAAACTTTGACACCTACTCGAGTTTACGACCTCGCTATAGCGTGGCCCAGGCTATAACATAACTGCAACGTTATTTGGTACTTTATAGACGTAATATACGAGTATAGTGAGATTAATTAGTCGTTCACACGAAGCACAAAACAGACAGGTGAAAACAAATCGAATTCGAAAATCTGTTTAAATTCTGAAATCTTCTTTAACGTATATGTAATGTGTATTTTTCCCCTAATTTATAGAAAACCTACAGCCAAATTTAGTATGTATAGTATCTAAACTGCGGATGTCTTGTATTTATAGGAAATTCCAATTCTCGAAAAACTACAATATTCATTTAATATGCAAAAATATAGGAAATACATAAAATAAGATAGGAATTATTATATTTAGGGGTCTATGGGATGTTTAATTGCACATATCAGTAAATATCCAGTACAAAATATCTATGTAATTTTTTATAATTCACTGTTTCTGCAATTTCCGATCGAATGCATTAAATCGATTTGAATTAGACCTTCGCGAATATAGAACAATTTCTGGGTCATCTTCTCATGAATATTAAATAGCTCATATAATATTGGAACGGATAGTTGATTTGTGGAAGACAATCGTTTCACAAAGTAGAACTGCATTATTGCATTATAGTTTTATTTAAAAACTCGCTGGAAAATGTAATATTATACACGAGGAAGAGTTTGAATCGAACAAAAGTTTCATACTAAAAATATCGAAAATTGAAAAATAGTCTGTTTTTAAAAATCAAAACGCGTGGTGACGTTTATAATCGTTTAAATTACTATACGTATCGGAGAAAGTGAGAATTTTACATTTCACGACGAATGTATTTATTAATATCTACTGTTTAGCGTTTCGGCCTTGAACCAACGGATTGCAAGCAATAATACACTAATTAATAATAACTGTGGAGATATAACGAAGAAAGAAATCACTTCTCTGGCCAGAAGGAATCACCAACTCGTACGAGTTTCGAAAGTATACAGTGTCAATATTTATGACATTCAAGTTATAATTTATTATCGATCGAATATGTGTGGTCTACAGTATTATAAGCCACGATAACTATTTCTAATTATTAAATAAAATTTTTCATTTTCCTCCTTAAGTTTTTTTAAAAAAAAGTTAAAAATGAAACTCTGTAATCTTCCTACATTCGCAAATATCTCATAATTTCTTTTAAAGATATTTCCCTGTCGTCGAAGATAAGAACAACAAATAGAATTCGAACGTTTCGGTTCTTTCGGGTGACCGTAGAATACAATTTACGTAAAAACTGTTTGCACGCTGTACATTCTCGAAAACGTTCGACCAAGACGACCGAGAAGAGAACTTACAAGTGTACATAACCGTCGTACGGTCTGAACACATGTTGCATGCATACATCAGTTTTATCGTTCAACTTGGAGCTGATATTTCGCACATACCGATGACAAAGATCGCAGTCGTGACGAGGCAATTAAAGAAGAACATGAATGAAAAAATAATTTATTCCAAGGTTTCGAAAAGAAGTTTACGACTGTACGTGTCTCTCGTGTTATTTTTAAATTTATGAATTATTTTTTGTTCCGTTTCGACAGGTCATCCATCGGGGACGTACTTGGATACTATTATTAGACGCGAACACGAAATTCTGACGATCGGAATTAGTTCAAACCGCTAGAAGAACGTCTCGATGGGGTGAGCGTTGTTCCACAAGGACAAGTTATGTTCGTATAATACAACCTTCGAATAGATAATTCGCGTAACTTCGAGCGAAGAACGTACCGTCGTAGTTAAAATATCTCCGGATATTAAGGTGACCCGTTTCCCAACGGGACACCCTGTACGTCCGAAGACGATCGTTTCCTATAAATCTTGCATGAACGATATCGCGCGATCGATATGGCGCAAGAAGAACAAGGCTAACGAGACCGACATGCGTGTATGCGAAATGACACGAAACGGACGAGACAACGAAGTTCGACGCGACAGCAAAACATTGACGAACCTTAACAACGACGTCTCTGTGAGGAACGTTCGGAATCAGCGGTACCAGCGCGATCTAATAATACCGATAACTGGTCCAACATCACGCAATACGTTAAACTGCGTCGCTCGAGTCGTTTACGGACGCGGCTGGTCGATATTAAACGTTGGGGGGGAGATCGATAATTAACGTTGCACGAATTGATATCGAAAAGCTGGAGCAATAAAACTACGGCGCACATGTGACACACGACGCGGCACATTGGCGGGTTAAATTGCGAAAGCCCGTAACAACGTCAAGGTGAGGAGGCCAACGTCGATGTCAATGCAAACAGTTGCTCGGCCGATCATTATGCGTTACAGACCCGTGTCATTAATGCGTATTACACGAATGGATTGTAATATAATGGTCACAGCCATTAGACATCTTCGGGTAGCTACGGGCGCTGAGAACGTTCCCGTTCCCCTATTGTTTATTCAACGACTCGACATCGGTTCGCGTTAATTTCTGCAAACCGAAACCGTTTGTTCGAGGAACGCGTACACGCCGTGGCAAACTCGACACGGCTCTCTGCCCGAAGATATTCCGGATCCGGCTCCGTAATCGTAACGTAAGGAGAACCTTCGAACGTTCGTTGCCCGATGATCAATTTAAATTTCCACGAGATTATCTTCGAGTCGCTTCCACGACCCGGCGAACGAAAACTGTTGAAATATTGATCTCTCGAGGAATCCTTAACCGAAGATCGGTCAACGTAGCTGATCCTCGGATATCCTATCCGGTCCAATGTCAACGAAACCGTTGTTTACCCAAACGTTAATCCAAGTTATTGCTCCAGCTTCGATTTGTCACTTGGTGTATACGTACGAACGTGTTAGAACGTGAGAATCCGACCGTTCTCCTCGAATAAACGATAGTGCGCTAACACTCCGAGGCATCGCGCACTTCACGATCAACAAACCGCTCCAAACACGAACGACTTCAACCTCCCGGACTCTCGGAACGTGTAATATGTTTAGAGGTTCAATACCTACCCAACGGTCATAATCCAAAGATGTATTCGCACTGATAATCACCGAGAGACTTCCTCAGTGGCGTGTTACCACGAGGGTCACAGACTTCCTCACACTCGGATGACTTTCCTCGTAACAGACATACACCGATCGTGCACTGGTTTCAGTTAGCCGATGACGAACATATTCACTGGAACCGCGGTCACGAGGCGTGCTGTTCCCGCGGCGATATTGTCACGCGCGAACCGAATGAAAAATCGCGATCGCGCCCGGGTGGAACGGGAACGATTCACGGGGGGACCGGGGGTACCGATTGTTCGCGGTGCTCCCGGTCAACTTTCTGGAGCGAACAGGTGGCCGAACACGGACGACGAGTCACGCTGCGAGGGACACGCGAGTCTCATGAGGTTCGCGAAACCGGCGAAAGAGAATACGCACGCGTCGCGACGGCTTGACGTCGACTGAGGAGAGACGGGTTCGCCGCGACGCGTCTGTCCGCCCCCTGCTGCCACGATCCCCCACCACCCGTGCTTTGGAGGCGCCACCGACGCTCGCCACCCCCTCTGGCTTCTCGTTCGTTTCGTTTCCTCTGTCTCTTCTGCCTTGCTGAGTCGCGCCGCGACGTACCGCGTCGTTCACTTTCCACTCGCTATCGCAACGTGACACGCCGTTGGGGTTGCGCCCCCGCGCGACAACGCGCCCGTCCGATTACGATTTCTGACCCCGTCCAACACGTCGATCGCAACCGGGGACCTCCAATTCCAACCCCTTCCGATCCGATTTTTGGTAATTGCGCCTAGAAACCGAACGGAGACAACTACAATAACGATGCTCAAAGAATGTAGGAACCCTTAAAAATATTTCAAAAATATAAATTGAACATTTATAATAAACTGTCGACAGATCGATGTAAATTTTATATTTCACAATTAATTATAACCAATTCCCCATAGTATATTTATTTAAATTCAATGTCACCATATTCCTACTTTAATAAACTACCTTTACAATAGCCAGGAGCACATTTTAATTAATAAGTTCTGCGCGCGTACATACGAAGATCACGCAGACTTAAGATGGACGAGAAATTCAGTGTCACAACGTCGACGTGAATAAATCGTGACTTCCGTATATTCAGATTTGTTTTGCATACTAAACTTCCGACACTGACAATGCATGCGTTTATAATGACACGTGAAACAGTTCTTCCTCCATCGCATTAACCATCAAAATCAATATTACAAATTTAAATATACATTCCGAATTAAATATCAGTTCCATTTCATCTTTCTTACTTTCACTATTTTTGAAACTTTTGGGAAATTTCTTTGGAATTGAATATTGAGGAGTTTCAAATATGTTACTAGCGATACGCCCAAATCAATAACAACTGATTCTGAATAATTCAGCGCTGATCTTGTATTCTTTATTGATTCCAAACCACACTAAACTGGCACATCCCCTGCGCGACCGATCATATACAATTTATACAATTTCGTTCCAAATTCTATCATCAGACAGAGTTAAAAAAAAACTTTACATTACCTTTTATTCAATTAAGGAGTCTAGTGATTGTTGGAAACATTAAAAAATTCGAACAGTTTTATTATTGGAGCGTATTTATACGACATAAACTAAACTATCCCACAAATTGGACAGAATAAAAATGTTCAATTTACGAATCATTTTAATAATCATTGCTGTAGTCATAACTCAGTACCGACCGAATATTTGCAAATATCTCGGAAACTAAGGCCGAACGGGGGTTGTATGCATCAGAAAAACTTGATTAGAATATCGAGTTCTATGACACATTTGAAAATCATCGAAATTGGTGCAATGTATTCCGAGTAATTACCAAGTACTCTACCTGGCCAAGAAGGGTGAAGGTCTGCCGCGTTAGAAGGAAATTTAATCAATACGACTACAAAGTAAGCTTCTACGACTTCTGTGCAATTTGTAATAATCCACGTTCGGATTCTCGTAATATAGCCAACATTGTTAACTAGTTCGGTACATGCACGAAACCTTCCTCGTGTTAGATTAAGCGAACAATTGTCTCTCGATCGCTACAACGAGCTAGCGCCAATCCTGCTCTTTGAGTTCGCGCTTTCAAAGCAGTTAGGTTCAGCTTTTGCATGCGATAATTTACCGATGAAATATCGCAATAACTAGAAACAACGCTCCTAACGAATATATATCGGAGTTCGAACTTAAATACTGCAATACTACGAAGACATCGGATATGCGATATGAGATATTCGCGAATGTTTATGTACATGTTCATTTATCTTTTTTGTTTGCATTTTTTCGCGAGGTATTCGACGAAGACGATATTTGTAACGTGGACGGTAATATGATTTTAATAGGTGGCCGCGTACTCGGCGGTACCAACACTTTGGATTCACGATAGACCACTGAAGTATCTATCGTTCAACACGCACTCACCGCAGAAGATTAACTAGTAATGGAACTGAGACGTGATTCGATACCGTCGATACATTTACATTTGAAATTGATATTGCCGTATCAAACCGTTCCATTTAATTATAATTGTCGCGACTAGGATCACTAATTACTCGCAAATACAGTTAACACTTCGATAGTCACACATTTCATACATAGACTGCGCTGTTGGGCGGCTCCGGCGAACGTGTCAATGTAATGTGTCGTGTCTTTTGATCCCAGGTTGTTTCATTTAGTAATTTTATTAATATTGAAATATCCCCCATTGTGTGCTATAATAATTAAATTGAATTAATATCAATTGCATTCATTTACATAACATTCATTTGCATAAATCGTCGACGCCGCGATAAATGGCGCTGGGGAAATCGGCACATACCTGCTCGTTATTTCCAACAATTTTCATCGTAAAATATTTTCACATCGGGGATATGTAGGAACTGAAATTTATCGCGAGCTTATGTGTATTTGTGTCGATGAATTTTGAATTTAAGGCGCGGGATATCGAAGTCGAGCGAATAATGTATCTTTTTGGATTGACGGATTCGTTTCGACCAAAGTCAGACGCACAGCGTGTAGGAATATTGTTATAATAATGTATTATATTAAATAACAATAACTCCAGTCTCTATCAGTGTGGAACTTGACGAAAATTTTAAAAAGAAGCATTAATCATAATGCCTTTGTATTTACAGCAGAATGCACTGCTTTGAATGACATTTTAGATAGTTTCTTTGTCTCTTTAAGCAAAGTCTTCAAATAGACATAAAAATAAACTCTTGCATACTTAAGATGAAACAGAGATGTAATACATTTTTACAGAAAAATACAAATAATAGTACCACTAATTTTTTGAGAAAGAATAGTCCTAGAGCCAATGAATCAAACGCGAAAATAACGTTTAACCCAATTCCTTGGCTGGCGATCTGTTGTATAATAAGACATAATGGTTCGCGTGTCGCGGGGCAAGGTATGTGTTCCTCTGATCTGGAAAAGTGTAAATAAGGTTCGTGTTGACGTTATCAGTCACGTGTGACCTGGTTACATTCGACTATTACTAATTGTGAATTACCGAAACGTTCCGATACATTCCCGCTTCTTCCGCGGCCGAGCTGCTGCGAATCACCGCAAATAGTTCGCGATAGTTTAAGAATGATTGCGCGACGTGATGCTACAAAGAACTCTAATTATGCAGCGCGACGGTTTCGGTAGAATGAGTTTCATTATGATGTTAGTATACTCACGCGAATGGCCTCGAGAGCCATTTGTCACGACTGTCGCAAGTTCGCTAGTTTAATGCATCCGTGCTCCTGGATGCCTGGTTCCTACCGGCATCGCCTTTGGTGCAATTTTCGAGCGACAATGCCGTTACTAGGCGGCGTTGTCCGTCGGACAAAACGGACTTACACGTATCACGCCTCCAACACGTTTCCAATAGTTTTACTCTAATCCATACAGTTCGATGAAGAACGATTCCTAACCGAATGGAAAAACTGCCTCTGTCGAACATGTTCGTCGAATTCCATTTACTTGATAAAAAACGTCAGATACATCGAACTTGGACGACATAAACATTGGGTCGATCCACAAGTTTGTGCCTAACTTTGTACTACAACTCGAAGCAATATTTCAAACTCAATCAAACATCGTTACTGTAAAATTTCTTTAATTTTTTGTTAATTCAGAAAGAATGTTTTCGAAACCAATACCAATCAAAAATCGAAACGTATTAACAAAGTTTGACGATACAAAGGCGAGCGATTCGAGCAATAGTTTTTTAAAAATCACAAAATCACGAGAGCTTGCGATACGCGCTTTTTATTTAAAATTTTCGTGGCATTCGACATTCGTACGATTTTACAAAAATTTCTGGCGACCATTGAAACATGAATTTATCGCATTCACCGTATCGAGCACCGAGACCGGTACGAAGCAACGACAAAAGAAAGAATTCAACGAACGTAACGCGTACTCGCGAGTCAATGCGTTAAATGATAACGATAATTGGCCCTTGATGACTGTAATTGTATCGATCGCTCGGCACATGTCGGAAGATCCGCGTACAAAGGAACTCGCGTGCGTGAAATTCCATACCCCGAGGACGATCGATCGGACTATCCCGAATTTCGAGGTCCGTATCCGCCCAATCTTGATCGTACCAATTATTTTCCGCGTAACGACGTCTACGAAAGTAATTAGCGGACGGGGCGCGGGCGCGGAAAATTTGTTGCGATCGAGCGTCCTGGAATTGGTTGCACTCTAATTACTGGCAGTTGCACTCCATCTATGACTTATTATTACCAATCGTAAATACAATTACGAATAATAATATCGGGAGGGGAGGCAGATCGTGCTCGTAAATAACGACGCGCCGTGCCGATAATCTATTACGCCGCGGCGGGTATCGACGCTAGATTTTCACGGCGCGCTGTCGAATCGTTTCCACTCGGAAGGAAACGCGAAACCCCCGTTTACAAGAGGAACGGCTCAAAATTATTTCACCGCGGACAGGTTCGTTAAAGCGATACGGAGAACCGAGATATAAATGATATACGCGGGGGGTGGGAGGAGGGGGGAGGGGGCTGTGGACGTCGGCAGTCCATGCTCTTTGTATGCATTCACCGGGCAGCGCAACTATTAAACCGCGCCAAATGTAATACACCGACGCTTTAAATAAATGAGCGATCGGTGGTTACTGATTCCTTTACGTTCTGCAGATCCATAACGGTCAAGGAGTGTGTGTGTAGAAATGGGTGGTCGGTCGAGCGCTTGCGAGAGAGCGTAGCCCTCTACTGGCGAACGTGGGAAGTGTTTTCACAGTACTAACATCCAATCACTCAAATGTATTAAAATAAACTTGTAAAACTTAACACAAAATGCTGAAACAATACTATAAAACGAAGAATACTATAAGAACTGTGTTGGAAATTAATTTTTGCCCCGAATAAAAAAACCATATAGTTTGTTTAACCCGCACATAA